AAAAAGGAAAATCCATGGAAACTGCGATTAAAACTGGGGTTTGCAGTGACCTCTAGCGGGAACCACGCCGGGAGCAGTGGGAAGGGGCAGAGGAGCCTGTCGGGGAGCGATGAGATAAATTTCATTCCTAGATTTACCCAAATCACCCATGGGGAAGATCCGAGCCCATCGKTTCATGGCCACACTCCGCCGCGGGTGTTTCGGGGCGAGGCAGAACCTCCCCGAGCTGCTGCCGGCAGCGCTGACAGGTCTTGGATAATTCATTAAAGCAGGAGGAGGATGGAGCATCCTTACCCCGGGAGGGAGCAGCCACCAGCCCGACACACGATCCAACCTGCCCGGGGGCCGCAATTCCAGCCCCGGGAACTCTCGGTGGGAGCGGCACGGGCTGGACCAGGAGGTGAGGGGAGGGGAGGGTAAAGCCGGGCTCAGGTGTGACGGAAAAACCCTGCGGAAGGGAAATCCGGCAGATCCGGGATGGTTTRGGGGTGTGGAGGATCCTCCAGGAGATTTTCTGGCGTTGTGGGTGGAGTTGGTGGMTTTTGGGGTGGCCCCAATGAACCTGGGTCTGCTGGGTTGAACATTTTGGTGCGATTTCTTGGGAAAATGAGAGCGATTTCCTGGGAAAATGGGTGCGATTTCCTGGGAGCTATGAGGATTTTAGAGGTCCACGGGGTGAGTTCGTGCCCACCCGAGGCTCTCACCTGCTTTTCCAAAATATCTGTGGCCTCCTAAGCGATCCTCCTCCCCCCACACCTTCATGTTTCCTGTTCTATGACATTAAACCAAAGAAACATCACAGGAGCATCGACTGAAAAATGAAGTTTTGATCCTCCAGCGAAGATAAGTAATAATTTTTCAGTTTCTTTCTATTTTTTAAAGTTGTTTTCTTGGCAGATCTTGCTTCAAGCTGATACAAACTTTGTCAAAGGAATGGGCCTGTTCTGTCTGACCCTTTYTCAGGAGCTGCAGAGCTCAGGAATTCACGTTGTGATCCCGCAGAGTTTCCTCGCAGTTTCCCTGTTGACAGACAAATCCCTGTGGGAAAAGAAAAACCTTTCTTTGTGGTGAGGCAGAGGTTTTCTGATAGAGCTCGTGTCTTTAGGCAAGAAAGGAATCTCCTGAGTGCTGAGGAGAGGAAAATAATCCTTTAAAAGAGCAGTGTCTTGCTGGGATCACGTGCATTGATGAGTCCTGGGGTATCTCTTACGCAGAGAAGCACAAAACTTGCAGAAATAGGTGGGGACAGGCCAGTAAAAGGTGCTGGGGTCATAAAATGATCATCATCAGCAAAATACTGACAAAATCTGGGCACAGAATAGCCCAGAAAAGAGTTTGGGAGTTTTGTGTGGCAGGGACTGGTGTCATTTACCCATTAACATACACGTGAGAGAACTGGGTTAAGGAAACCTGAGCAGGTGGATGTCAAGGGGGATCATGCCAGGCTGATCCTTTCCTGCTTCCCAGCTGGGAGAGAAGGGAAAAGTTTCCTGAGAGCTCAGTCACAGAGAAAATATTTCTTCTTCTTCTTCTTCTTCTTATTATTATTATTTCTCTCTACTCTTTCCATTTTCTGGCCTGTGCGGGCAGTGAGGTCCATCCAGGTGTTGGTTTGAGAAGCAAAAATCATCCTTTATTTTCTCTTCCAAACCGATGGAGCCTGAGCTAAGGACAGGCACAGMAAATGGATGAAAATGGTGCAGAGGAGGGGAGAAAAAGGATATTAATATTAAAAAGAAAAAGTGTAGAGAATTTTAGTGATTACAGTCAGGTCATGGCCTGGAAAAATAAGGAATTCTGTGTCCTGCCAGCCCAGGGGACAGTCAGCAAAGCAAAACTGCAATTCCTTGTGTGTGAAGTGAGTGCAGGTTTGATTTATTTATTTTTTTGTTTAAATAACCTGCTTTCAGGGTATCTCTCTCTCTGGATTGTTGTGGCTGTGTTGCTGCTGAATGGAAATCTCAAAGCTCTGCTCATTCTCAAAGAAATAAACATAAAGAACAGGCTGGAAAAATATGAGAACAACATTAAAATTCTTGTTTAAGAGCTGATTTTTTTTCTGAGCTTGCCTTGGTCATAATGGAAAATGTGTGGATGGATGCTTTGCTCTTCATTTTAAAAGGTGCAATTTTKGGAGCAATTCTGCCCCCAAATCCACCAAGCCTCATCCCAAAAACCTCCCTCCAGAGTCAGGGCTTGCMAGAGCCAAGCAGAAACATTCTCTTTGGTGCCTATTTCCAATTTGTAAAGCTTCTGCTTTAGAAAAATCAAAATTAAATTTTAAAACAGGCCAGAACCTGACTTGGCCCAGCACAAACAGAACATCAGAGTCTGTTTAGGGCTGCTTGAAATTCTTACACACGACCACAACGTCCCCTTGAGCAGTGGAGCAGCAAAATGGGACAAGGCAATGTCCCCAAGGGCAGGAGGAGAGCGGAGAAGGTGCTGGGCTGGCGAGCACAGCCCGGAGCCTCTGCAGCTGCTCAGCCACGGTCCCTCCCCTGATTATCCCAGCCTGGAACCCTCCAAAGCAGCTCCTCCAAGGGAATTTTCTCCAAGGTAAGCTGCTCCAACTGTGYGGGCTTCAATTCTGTCCATTTATGCGTCAGGATGGGAATTTGAACTGGGTAATCCCGGTGTCTGCGAGAACAAAACGAAAGGAAATCCTGAAAATCCTGCTTTGGCACAATATTATTGTAGGATATGTGTGATGGAGATAAATCTATGTGGAATAAGTAGGCAAAAAAAATGATTTTCTGTTTGCTAGCATGAAATTTGCAGCTTGGTTTAATGAAATAAAAAGCACAGTTTATTCTTATAGCCTGAGCTTGACCCTCAGCAGTGAGAATTTCCCAGATAAAGTCAACTTCCACCATAAAGAATCAGAAGTGGAGGCTGCAAGAAGATTCTGTTTGGTCATGGACACCCTTTTTTTGCCTCTCTCAGCCTTTGGGGAAGGATGGGGGATGCTGGGAAGGGTTTAACCATCCCCAAATCGTTCTTTGATSGGTTTTATCAGCAGTGGCCGTGTCTCTCGCTGGCGTGTGGGGACATCTGCTGCCAGCACTGAAAGCTGACTCGGAGCTGCTGCTGGGAAGCACTGGGAACAATATTTCTGTGCAGAGTGATGCTGTGAGATTAATTTTTTTTTCCCTAAAAGTCAAGCCCCTTGCAGCCTTTTCCAGCGATTYTGYGTTTTCCTGCTTGGATCTGTATAAMGGGGTTGCRGTGGTGTAGAAGTAAACACATCCAATGTGTTTATTCCAACTTTATGCTTGGAAAACTCTGTCTGGATCCAGTAATTGAGTGTTCAGATCCAGGCTGCACCTCCAGGGCTGGATTTGTCTCAGTTTTTATGCCAGTGAGGGCACTGGAAGCCGGGATCTTCCCCTCTGCTCGCAGCAGCAAATCTTGGACGCCTGGACTGTGATGAGCTCAGATTGTGTGGAATTCCCATCCTTGGACCAGCTGGAATCATGATCCCATGGCATCACCTGCTCCAGGCTGATTTTTGGACCTGGGGAAGGGCCCTCTCTGCCCCCTCCTCACCCTGTACCCTCTGACCTTTGTGTTGCAGAAGGAAGAAGTGGACGAGAACGGCGACGCCAACATGGAAGGGGCTCTGATAGCCCGGGATAAGGTCGGGGTGCAGGATTTTGTGCTGCTGGATTCCCACACCAGCGAGGCTGCTTTCCTCAACAACCTTCGCAAGCGCTACCAGGAGAACCTCATCTATGTGAGTGCTCAAATGTCCCCAAGGTGGCCTTGGTGCTCGGGTACAGGAGGAAGGGCTGAGTATCCTCTGTGTATCTTACACAAGGTGTTGGTAGTAGCCAGCAGAGCGGTCACCCCGGAGGGATTTATCTGTTTTAGATATTAAAATAATAATTAAAGAAGTCTCAGCTCACTCAGAGCTGCCTTGCAGAGCTTTAAAGGATGTTCAGTAAATAGGAAGGGAATTGTGWTTGAAGGCAGGACATGGTTTGTGTGGGAAGGGGCTGAGGAGTTTTTTTTGTGTATTGTATTAACTTAAGTAGGAAAAGGGCCCTGAAAACACCAAGAGGTCCAAATCCTTGCATTTCAAATGTCAGGCTCTGAGCTTGCTCTCATGCTTCATCTTTACCCATAACCAGGAGAGTTTTGGAAGAAATTTGGTGTTGGTTTGGGAAGRATTTTGGTTGGTTGGGCTGGTTCTSTCATAACAAACTGTGTACCATCTTTGTCATTTGTTTGTGAAATACTTGGCTCCTCCTTTGGGATTTTCTGGTGGGGCAGGTGTCCCTTTGACCCT